TCTCAAAACCTCTTCATGAGTATGTACTACTTCTGTGGGGAACCCTCAAAGTCCCTTGAAAAAAAAAATGTTATGAACGAACACTTGCAGCCTGTAGAACATATAAGGAACGTACTGGAACTAAATCAGAACTAAAATCATAAACTGCGATGAAAAAGAGCCACTGCTCCATCAGGTTGTTGAGACAGTTCACTGCTGAGAAGACTTCTATCTTTTCTCTTCACTCTTCGTCAGACTTCACAGTTTGCCTGGAAAGTGATGAGGCTTTGAAGCAGCAGATTAGTCAGAGGGGCATGAGAGTTGAGCGTGTAAACAGGACGGCAGCAGATCAGTGGGCGAGGAAAGGAACAGAAGAAGAAACTGTAACCAGGTAAGGAAACAGTGACACGGATGAAGGGCAGAGAGAGAGAGAGAGTGAGAGAGAGAGAGAGAGAGAGGGGGGGGGGAGAGAAAGAGAGTAAGAGGAGTCACACCTTGAGGAAGTTAACAGAACAACAGAAGAAGAATAAAAGACATCATCATATTTAAGGTAAAAGTTTTCAATTTCCACCAAATTTTAATATAAAACTTTACTTTTTTTGACTTTCAAAGTGGCAACTTGTTATTTCCTATTGAAATAGAATGGGACTTGTGCACCTTGTGATTCTCCTGATGTCTTCGGCACAGCTGGTGCTCACCTCTCCGCTGGTAACCACATCCTTCAGTTTATCCACCTACATTATCATATATGCTCACAGAAAAACACTGTTCTTTAAGCTCAAACCTTCATAAACAGGATCTGTGAGATGATCAATTCAGGACTTTTGGCTGCAATTGTTTGATTTCTATTTGTGTTAATGTGTTAACAGACAAAGAGGACGTTGACTGCTGATGGCAGATTCATGTGTCCTGCAGGTAAGAAAATCATTATATGTGACACAAGCTTCTTTACTTTTCTGTCTGTTCATGTCTTGACTCACTGTTTGAAATTAATGAATTGATATTCGGAAATGATTATACATATAACAAATACATACATACATAAATACATACATTATTTATCTTTCTGTCTGCACGTCTTTTTTTCTGTCTTGATGAAAAACTGCAATCACAAATATGCTGCATGTGACCACATCCTTCATTACCATGCAGTCTGAGAGAGAGAGCAGGAACTCGCGTTTATCTTCTCATCTCTTGCGGTTGTTGACATTCTCTGTTCTGTCAGGTAATTATAAGTCTGGCACTGAGTGTCAGCCCTGTGCTGTCGGAAGCTTTACAACCGACCAGAACCTTGAAGACAGTTGCGAACGCTGCTTCGGAGACTGCAGACCAGGTACAGAAACCGTGGGTCATGAATGCATTATGGCCGTTATTCAAGAATAAAACTGCAATTGCTTCTGTTTCCCTGTGTCAGATTATCACCTGAAGGTGGTTCAGAAATGCACCAGCACGTCCGATTTAAAGTGCGTCTGTGAGGATGGTTATAAATGCGCCAGGAATGTCCCATACAGCGAGAACTGTGGATTCTGTGTCAAGATCCAGCAAACGACCACAGACGGTAAATACTGAGGCTTTCAACTATGTCACTTTAAACAGGCTTCGACCAGCCAGGGGCCTCATCATGAACAAAATGTATCACAGGGGTTTTCACTGAATGTATCAGAATGAACGATAAGAAGACTAATGACCACATTAGTTATTGACACAGATAAAACAGAAACGACTGTTGTGCTCTGATCTTCAGTGACTCTCCTCTCAGCGTGGTAAACAAATTTTTTTTTTTTTGTAAAAACACACTGTGAGTAATAATGTTGCTCCATCACTTAAAGGGTGATGATGTGTTAATGTTGGCACTTTGCACCTGCAGCTCCATCCCTTGAATGCTACACACAGACTCTGTCGCAAGATGGCGCCGTTCATATCCAGGATATTTGCTTTATTTCTAAATAGAGGGAGGAGAACATTTGACATTGCCTGTCATCACATTAACTGATAAAGTATTTTCTCATGTATCTGTGTGTGATCTGTTCCTGTTCAGTTTTTGACCTGAGATTCTGTTTTATTCTGTTTGTCTGAAATCTAAAAGAACCGACAGGAAACCATGAGCAGACGCCTTCCGTTATTCCCTCAGGAAGTAGCAGCTCCTATGCCAAACTCTGCCCATCTTCCAAGTGAGTTGATGATTTCCTGAGATAGCCTCAGAGTGCAGTTTTAAAACTCTTGATTGTAGCGCTGAACATGTGGAAGACTTTTAAAAAAAGATCTTAGAGTGACAGTGTATTACAGTCAGGCCCTTATCTCACACAGATGTGACCGTCAATCAGTCCCATCAACACCCAGCACAGGTGAGTGTGTATGATTCTGAATTAAAAAGTATGAGAGTAATATTTTGTTTTGTTTTGTTCAATTTTATTGACACTGGTGATCATGTTTTTAACTTACATTGTTAGTATACGGATCTATCGGATGAATGATCTCACTGGCATGGTGGTGCAGTGGTTGTTTCCATATGCCAGCCCAGGTTGTTCTTCACCTCTAGCCCAATATCAGCTGGGATTAGCTTCAGGACCCTTACCATTAGCTGCTTAATCTGACCACAGTGTGTTAGCACTGGCATTGACTCCAGTTTCTTTCCCTCAGACGTGAAGAGCAGTCAACTGGCAGCCATCTTGAGTCCAGTGGTTGTTGTAGGATGTGTGGCTCTCATGATCCTGTTCTGTGTCCAACAACCAAGGCATGATACATGTTTCAAGCGAGGTACGATGGTGTTCACATCCAGGACAGGGTGTTGCACTTAAACCTTTGGGTTGGATCACTTCTTGAGAACAAATAACATTGAACAACAGATTTGTCATGTTGTTACGGTTTAAATGTGTCATATGCATGTTGTTTAATCATTGGTAGATGAATGTAAATAAATATCTATTCTTCACCAATTCTCAAACTCAATCTACTGTTTTCCAGCTGTTGCAGAGCTATTTAATGAGGTAAGTTTCTATGAGCTTGGTTAAATGTTGCTGCCACGCTGGACAAAAACAGATCAGTATCACTTTTTAATGTAAAACTTATAACGTTATAATGTGATACGTTATTGTTCTGACGTATAACCCTTCACATTAAAACATAAAATGTATCAAGTTATTATGTGATAACTTATTATTGTTCAAAAATGAAACTAAAAGTTATCACGTTATAACATGAACATGTTTAGGTTTTAATGTGAAAGGTTTTATGTTTTTACATGAAAACTTTTCTGTTTAACAATAAGTTATCACGTTATGATGCAATGCGTTATTGTTATTACTTATAACCCTTCACGTTACAACATAAAATCAAGTTATTATTAAAACATAACAAACAATGAAAGTTATCACAGTTTTATGTTTAAACATGAAAACTTTTATGTTATAACTTGGAAATTTTGTGTTTTAAAAACAAGTTATGTTATAATGTGTTTGACTATAAGTCATCACATTATAACGTGATATGTTTAATGTTATAACATGATACTGATCCATTTTTTTCTTTTCTGGCATGGCAGCAATACACTTTGCATTTACAAATATGGCATCATTTCTCCTTTGTTTTCCTCAAACTTGTCGGCCATGTTCTTGTTTAGCGAAGACAGGTTTCTGCTTCTTGCAAGTCAAAGGAGTCAAGTCACCAGTTCCCCAAAGACTCATTCAGAGCAAAGCAGCAGCCGCCGCCCCTCGCAGAAGCCAATCTGGGTACTGATGAGTGAAATGACAACTTATATGTGAAATGACACAGCTATACCTTCTCTGTAAGTAAGAGAAGTAAAGCATTTGTGCATTCTTGTCTCTGTAGGTCCAGTCTATGTCCAAAACCCAGGGACGGTCATCTTCAGCTTTCTCAGCCAGTTTACAGGACAAGTTGGTTCGACAACTGCAAGTGGGAAGGCGGCTGAAAGAGTGGACAATGAAGAAGACGAGGAAAGAGACAGTCCTGTGTGTCATCCCACATCCTCCCCCATTATTCATCTGTCCGAGGAGGAGAGGACCGGAGAGATGGAAAACATATTCTTCCCCTCACAGGAGCAGGGGAAGGACTGCCACGTGTCCAAGGAGGAGGAGGAGGAGCTTTGATGCATCCAGCAGAGGATTTGTGTTGATGGTTATGACCATGACTCCAAACACAGGAAGGAATTATAAAACTGTGGAGCTACAGATGAGTGTGGAGCAGATTTTATTGTCCTCTGACAAACTGTGAGGGGATTACAGTGCTCCACGTGACATTACCCCCTGCAGGCTCTGACATAGGCACCAGAAACTGACAAACAGCTGGGAAAAGCTGAAATTTGAATGTCTTTCAAAATTAATAGACATTTTCATTTCAATAAAAGTTCATTTTGAGTACATCTGAGTAGAAATATATGAAATTCAATGCAAAAAAATTTGCATGACCTATAATCTAACCACAAAACTACAGCAAAAACACAAAGGTGTTACATATAGACCATCTTTACCCTATGTGTACCATAGTACATACCAGCTACAACACAGTGCACGATTTCTAACTCATGCGTATCACAGTGTCCCTCTCTGTATTTTCACTTTCTATATCTCCATTGTTTTATACGCTTTTATCATCATAACGTCACAGAAGTCAAAGAGTCATGTTTCCACTCAGGAAACCGAATCAGCCCAGAAATACTTCACTTTTCTGGTTATATTTGCCAGCACGGACTGAAGTGGTGTCGGGCCTCATTAGCCAAAAATGTCCTGAGCAACACAGGATGTGTGCTGGTCCTAGTTCAGGCTCAACACCTATTTAGCATTTAAGTCACAAATCAATAGAATGGGTTGCTCGCATTCCCCGCAGACTTCCTGGACAGGCTTGCATACATCGTCGTCCTCAGGGCATGATCGTCCTGGTTTTTTCATTAAAAAGCAGCCTGAAAAGAAAAGGGGGAAGTTTTCATATAAATTACATTGAAACATGAAATAATAATCACACAAGTAAAGATGTAAAAGTACAATGCTCAGTGTACTTCCTGTATTTGTATACTGCTGCAGTGTTGTCTGCCTCATGACAATAATCTACTTACAGTCCTTGGCCCTGATCCAGCTCAGAAAGGGCTTTATTTTAGTTACAATGACAAGTGCGATTCCAATACACAGGAGGGCGATTATCACCAGGAACCACACCGTCTCTGTAAGAATGAAGGAAAGAGACATTTTTAGAACATAAAGACAAACACTGGAGTGAGAGATCAATCATGTCATTGGCAAAGAGCCCTGAGAGTTTACCTCTGACTGATTTCGTGGGCTTGAGTGTTGTGAGAGCTTCAGGTGTGGAGGCTGAAAGGAAAAAGATTTTAACAAAATGAAGATGTTAATAGTTCAGCTGTTAGTTTGGATCAGTCTGTCATCACTTATTTTAACACAGCAGAATCCACAATAATATGTGTCACGTTGTGTGTATGAGTGTATCTATGGACACTGCAGTGTAAACAGCTGAGATAAGGGGAATGATTATTTGTTTGCGTCATTTTTAGTTACCACATCAGCACAGAACTGTTTCAACTCAGCAAGCACTCAGGGATGCTGTAATGTGTTGCTATGGTTACAGTAGCGTCTTGAGTGCTGCAACACGTCGCCATGGTGTGCTGTGTGGTGCTATAGAAAGTTCCAGGGAATTTGCAGAGGGACGAACAGGGGTGATTAATTCTGAGCCTTTACAAAAACAATTAACCACTTTTCAAGTATTGAGTTGTTATTTGTAGTTACTCTGAAGCTATTGAAGCTACATTTATAGATTTTGGCCACTTTGGAACAGTAAAAAAAACTATGAACTGATGGTTACAAGAACAATTTCTATAGTTGTACTCCAGGTGCTGGTGTGAAGATTTTCTCCATATCAAAAGCTTAATAGTTATAATTTTATTGAGCATCTGGCACATATGTGAAAAACTGATTTTTAATCTCGTTTCACTCAGTATCAGTGACTGAGGAGTTGATTTGAAGGCCTGTTGAGTATACAATAAAGAGTCCTACTATTACATGACAATTGTGTTGTTCCACTACTTCCTTAAAGTGACAATGGACACAATGGTAGAAACAACTTGACTGTCAAAGACTAAAATAAATGATAAACTATTAGCTTGTGAATGTAATGCAGTGGCTGACTCTCTGGTGTCTGACGTTTCTTATGAACTGTGTCCTATATCTTTTCCATTTCTATTTCAACAGGTCTACGTGAAGTTTCTCTGTATCTTACTGGTAGTGGATGGAGGTAGTGTAGATTTGGTGGTGGGTGGTTTCGGCACACACTGTGTACAGGATGGGTCTCTGCATCTGTAGCCAGCTTTGCATCTGCACACAGCGTTCTGATCGGTTTTACAGCGGGACTTGTATTCCATGTTCGCTGTGAAAACAAAGCGAAAAACGGTTTTCATTAAAAGATCAAATATAATCATGGATCTGAGTATAATAGTGTTCAATCGTGTTGCAAAAAGGCTGATGTTAAAATATGGCAAACAGAAATGTGAAATGACTCACAACTTGGGCCAGGCAGGTAGAGATTCTAGCTTTTAGTCATAAGACGGTTATATCGTCACTGTAGATAACATGTCTTCAGACACAGACATAACTGTTATCTCCCTGTCAAACCAGAATTCCACTTTGATGAAACATTTTTGTTACAGATTACTTTAACGTACATTCGCCAATGTGATCTCACAAATTAGCAAACGTTGGGCCGTTGTCATCATTACACATTTCTACACAAGATAAATGTTCTAAAATATTATCTACTTAATCAACTAAATCAGCAATTTATTTGATGACATTGATGGTTATGAATCAGAGAGATTTTAGTTTGGTTTGTTTGTTGTATATTAGCGCCACACATGTAGAGAGGATCGAGCATGGCTAAAAAAAAAAGGTATAAAAATGAATTATAATCTCAGACACAGACGTCTTGATTTGAGATGGCCTGACTTCTTGAAAACAAAAAGTCTTCACAACACTGTTACAATGTCCTTTTTACAGCAAGTGAGGAGCTTTTAGTCACGTTTAGTAATGTTTATAGATTTGAATGTTTCCTCCTCAATGGGAGGTCACAGCTCAGCTCTGAGAAGTGTTTAACTGTGCCCTCAGAGCAGGTCTATTGCTCAGCAGCTCTTTGGTAGGGTTGAGTGGATTGTTACTCCCCTTAGCCTTCAAATTACTATTATTCTAAGATACGAATACTCCTTTCACTGGATTCTCTCTGGATATACTTGTATGTGATGGGATTTGAGGACTAAAAATGTTATTCTTTCATTAAATATTATTTATTGTTTAAAATTTCCTAAATTTCCCTCGGGATCAATCAAGTATTTATGTATCTAAAACATGTAGCATGGTGCCTTCTTTGATATTCTGTTTGCACGTCCTAATCCATCAAAATGATTGACCTCTGATGAGACCAAAGACTGACTGGGGCAAATAAATTATGCTGTTATATTTCAAGATCAGTGTGGGAAATGTTGGTGAGAGTCAAAACATTTCCACTTGAATTATTTCCCATAATCTTTAATCAGCACAAAGCCTTTGTATTTGTAGGATTTGTTATTGGCAGATTTAAAAAATGTGTTTATAGCTGCACTTTTAACAGTGGTTTGAAATAGGTAAATTCAAAAGTCAATGTAAATGCTAAACTCTTCATGTACCCATAGTTCAAACTAAAAATCACAAACTTTCTGTGTTTTCTCTCTCTTCTGTGTTTTCCACTGTGACATTTAAAAATAAGCACAAAAGGCTGTTTTGCTCACCTGAAGCAGGGCAAAGACCTGACTAATAATAAACGACATTTCTGTCTGCTGCACTTTTCCGATGTTTATCACTTCTCTGTGTTTTTCTTTTTTCCACTGCATGGTCTTTATACTTGTTTTTACCATGGTGGGCTGTGCTGCTGCTGCTGCTGCTACTGCTTATCATGTGAACAGCAGTAGCTGTAGCCCCCCCCATCTCTATTTGACTGTATCCCACCATACCCCCCAGTGTGGGAAATCCCCCCAGTGTCAGTGACCTTAATGTTTCTCAGGGTAAACTTCTTTGAAGTCATGATGCATAAAGCTGAGTGACAGTGTTTGGCCTTCTTAACAGTGTTGTGGTGTAACTGGCCATAGTCATATGTCAAACACACACACACACACACACATATTACTGTCATATCACAACCAGTTCAAACAACATCTGCTGATCTGTTTCAGCTCTTCTTTTTAAGGTTTTTTTCTGCTCTTATCTGTCTTTTCAACAATTGGCAAACAGAGTGTAATCATTTATTTTCTTTGCCTTGGATAACAAGTATTATCAGAGAAAATGGGCAATGTAACGGTGGGATAAAATCTCATTTTATAGCATCATTGAACTGAATATCATATAAAACATGTTAGTATCACTGTACTGAGACAGTCACTGACACAAATGGTTTTCATTTGGGAATTACTCACATTTGTTGCAACTTCTGCAGAATTCGCAGTTCATCGCCACATTGTAGTAATGAATGTATCGCTCCCCCTCGCAAAGTTTACATTCAATTGTACATGACTCGTCGGGACGCCGAGCCATATGTTTACCTACAGAAAACACATACACACAGAGTAGTTACACTTACAATCTTAACTTGTCTGCCTCAAAAATATGAAATACATAATGAGGAAAAATAATCACTATACCTGGTGGGCACTTATCACAGCAAAGCTTGGCTGTTTCCACTGGCCAGGAATACTGTGTTTCGTTGCATTGTAAGTTAGACTTAGACGGAAAGAGGAAAGGGAGACGGCACAGGAGGAAGAAAGCAACATAGCCCAGCAGCTGCATCTGGAAAAAAAGGAAAGGGAGAGGGAAATGAGATTGAGCAGAAACAAGAGGAGGAGGAAACAGGATACATCAGTAGTGCTTAATATTACTGACACACTTCAGATTTGAAAGAACATGTAATATACACCCGCTAATCAGCCTTATATGCTTCCAAACACTCATCATTCTAAACTGCAGGTGAGATCACAGAAACTTATATTCATAAATCCACTAACTTAGCACAGCACTTATCTGAGGTCTGACCCACAGCTACAGCTGAAAATGTCTGGTTACTGTACTTACGGCGAATGAGGAGTTGAGAAGAGATGTGACCTGGGACCCTCTGAGTGTGAGACTGAACATAGGACAAGACATCTCTCAGGGGATTATTCATTCAAGGCAGTGACGCAATACGAAAGACGCTTGTTTTCTGTGCCTCATTCTCTCATCACCTCTCTGTCTACAACATCCTTGCAGTGCATAAAAACACACCCTTCTTTACAGACTCCAGTTTGAGTTTTAAAAAGTACTCATCGTATAATGACTGTGAAAATCTCTCTGAAGATATTCTCAAAATATCAAATATTTCTACCTTGTGATTTAATGACACAGGAGGCAGAGACTGGAGAGTACATTGTTTTATTATGACCTATCATTACCTTTTTCTGATGCTTGAGGGTGATTTTGATTTGAATTACACCAAAGTGTATTGTCTTTTCTTCTCAGAAATCGCTTCAGTTACAGAGTAAACTTTGTGGGCATGAGAACTTTTTGAGTCAATCAACAACACCTAATTAGCATTTTTGTGTAGGTCTTTCCCAAACACAATAAACAGTAAATCTTGTCACCAGTGAGAAGAACGAAGACAAACCCTTAGACAAACAGACCCTGGCCCTCCTCATCCCCTCTGGACCAAACTATCATCACCTTCTGCTGCATCTTAAACTGAGAGGCTGACATGTTGGTGCTCTCCTCTCACAACCAAAGTCTCTGCCTGAGCTCAGTTTTTACAGAAACCAGACCCTGACACGTGACTTCCTGTCAACTGTGAAATGAGAAACGTAGGTTGAGGAAGTGGTGTCTTAAAGGGGCATGTGCTCAACACTCAAACACAGTTCAGGGATGACTGAGCGAAAGATGACTGAGCAACAGTATCCCTCTGAGCTGACTGACAGTAAACCTGGTCATGCTTCTCTTGAGGTTTCACTATTAGTGCTGCTTGACCGAGTAGTTTGTTTGCTTGGAGCTGTAGAAAAATCTTTGCCCGGAGGATGTTGGCGTTTTAAAGTAAAAATGGTAACAAACAAAAGCTAATCTGCAGAAATACTGTGTGAAACTCAGCGGCATGAGTGTGTGCATGACAGGAACCTGCAGTCTAACTGGCTGTGCCAAAATAAGTGGGTAAAGAGAGGAGGAGAAGGAGGAGGAGAAGGAGGAGGAGGAGGGGCACAGGGCCAAAGACACTTTTTTGTGTTTGCTCATTGACAAGGAGGGATGTGGTTTTTCTGAGAAACTACTTGTGTTGCTCTGCTGACTGAGCTCTTAAAATGACTCTTCTGAAGATGTCTTGATACCAGCCTGTCCGCTCCACTTTTTGTTCATTCCTTTAGTATAAATGATGCTGTATGCAACTCTCTCTCTATCAGAAAATGCTTGTTGTATTTAAATAAAATTGATTGTATGATTTTCCTCACTCTGTAAAGTGGAAATGTGGTTTATAAATTATTATAATTGTAATATCATTGTTGGATTACTGTTGTTAATATTATAATTGTAGTGATTCACCTGCAGGCTTAATATTTCTCATCAGACTAGTTGCGTGCGTGTGTGTACAGTGTGTGTGTGTGTGTGTGTGTACAGTGTGTGTGTGCGTGTGTGTGTACAGTGTGTGTGTGTGTGTGTGTGTGTGTGTGCGTGCGTGTGTGTACAGTGTGTGTGCGAGGTGACTTTCTTGCCAAACTCTTATTTCATTTTACTTGAAATGGTCTCGTGACTCAGGCACTTCCCGTCAGAGACCGCCTACCTCGGTCTCTTCTCAGCTGAGGGTCGCTTCTCTCCCTCGCCCTGTTTCCCAGTGAAAACAACAAGTTGTGTTAAAATCACTTTACAGCCTCGAACACGGCGACTTTACGGAGGAGCTGAGCCCCGGTGTTGTCCAGGTAAGTGACGGTAAAAGGCCTCTGCGTGTCGGTGTGTGTGATTCATATATCGCCAGGCTGTGGGCGATCTGGGTGATCTGCGGTGTGAACTTAGCAGCTAAACCGAAACCAACGACATCAGAACGGTGAAAATCCTCTGTGTGTTTACTTATCATCTGCAAACATCTGGACACCTTTTTCTGCTTTTACAGCGACTTTAACGCAACAGGGAAGTGACGCTGCCAAACAACAGGCAGGAACAACATTGGAGTCGTGAAGTCAATAGTCACATCCGTAAAAAGATTTAAATGAGCTTTCAAATCTACCGTAAAGTACACTGCTTATGTTTTTGCCTAAAAATTCAGCCAATAATTCAATCTAAAATAATCACATTACGATAAGATATGATAAATTACAATACGGTACATTACGATAAGATAAGATACAATATGATATGTTACGATATGTTATGATACGATACATTACGATGCGATAAGATACAATATGAAAGGTTACGATACGCTGCGATACGTTAGGATAGGATACATTACGATTCGATAAGATACAATATGATGTGTTACGATACGTTACCATTGCGTTACAATATGTAATGATACATTACGATATGATACAATACTATAAGTAATGATACGATACTCCTTTATTTGTCCCACAGCAGGGACATTTGCGTGTTTCAGGAGGACAGTCAAAAAATTGACATCAGTGGAAGTAATATGCAAACATTATTACTCAAGTTTACATGCACACTGATACATAACTTGGAAGGGGGCTTGTTTTCTCAAATCAAACGCCCCCGACCTCCTGAAATGACCTCCTGTAGCAGAAATCTTAATGGTGGACGACATGGAGAATATGTCTGTTGTAGTTTGTATGAGTTGAATCTTTCACGTGATCCAGTCAGGGTTCATATAATGAAGCTTGTTCAGTATAGACCATTATGCCAACCTTAACTTTGCACGAAACAACATTGTTCAAGGTGAATTCAGTTTGATTAAATTGTACATTTAAAAACATTTAAAGGTACAGTGGGTAGAATTTTGTGATATCTAGTGTTGAAATTGCATGTTGCCGCTGAACACCCCTCACCTCACCCTCTCCGTCCAAACATGAAAAGGAACCTGTGGTAGCCTTTAATTGTCATAAAAACTCAAAAGGTGTTTAGTTTGTCCAGTCTGGACTAATGTAAAAAACATGGCGGCCTCCGTAGAAAGGACCCCCCTAGATGTAAATATAAAGTATTTAAATATAAAGGGCCTTTTCTGGGGTAAAGAAAACTACAATTCAAACAATTTAGATGAAACAAACTAGTGAAAACATCATGAGGATTATTCTACATTAAATTTCTGCTAAAAGATCCCTTTCACCTAAATCTTACACACTGGACCTTTAAGGCTTTGAATAATGACTCTAACTTAGCTGTGTGTTGCAGAAGTGAAAGAAGAAGAAGTGCACTTAACTATTTTTTTTTTCTAGCCATTAGAGGAACTTTACTGATTTTTTTCCTCACAGATGGCCTCACATGGATTGAGTTAAACCTGTAAGATGGAGGAAGCTGGACACAGAGGACGGAGGAATAAAAAAGCCCCTGTGGGCACAACACTGCTCCTCATGGTGAGAAAAACCTAGTGCTTCATTCATAGTAACCAAAAAAGAAAAACTATCCTCTCATGGACAATAACCTTTTTCTCTGGACATTCATTGTTTATTTTTTTTGCAGTGCATGATCGTTCCCACTTTGGCGATTTCGCAACCTTTAGTGAAGCCCACATGTTCACCTGAAGAATACTCCACTGACAAGGGAATTTGTTGCAACAAATGTTCACCAGGTACAGAAACACACATCTCCCGAAATATCACACAGGCAGCTGTCGTCTTCCGCTATTCGATCAATTTTACAAAGTCTTGACATTAATGTTTTTCAGGATATAAGCTTGTAGAGAAGTGTAATGCTATCGGTCACAGAAGTAAATGTGCACCATGTCTCCCGGGACAATTCATGGATCAGCTTAATTTCTACCCCAACTGCAAAAGTTGCAGAATCTGTAGAGGTACAGCAACATTACCTTTGTTCTGACTAATTTCAATACTTGGATTTACCAATGACTGGTTTTCTTAATACACCTTTTCTGTCTTTTTCACAGCATCAAAGCATGAACATACTTTAACAAAATGTGTGAGTAAGCAAAACACTATTTGTGAGTGTGATAGCGGTTATTACCGATTTCACATCGACTCACAAGCATACGAGTGTCGCAAATGTGCACAGTGTGCACCTGATGAAAAGGAAAAGCAAAACTGTAAGTGTTGAAACGTGACTGTCACACAAACATCAGTGTTGAGTAAATTATTATTATTATCATTTAATTATTCTTGTTTTGCACAGGCACACCACTGAAAAACACTGTTTGTGAATGTAAGGAGAACTACTACAGAGTCAAAAACAAGTGTGAACCCTGCAAGAGGTGAGTCTACACCATCTGCTCTGTTCCCATCCTGTGGCTTGTGATGGTTTTATTTAGAGTCACTGATGGGGAAGTTGGTTTGATGAATTGAAACTTGCAGCGCACTTCCAACTTTGTTCAGTCTTTCCATTCGTTGTTCACAGAGGAGAGAAGTTGGATGTTAAAAACTGGGTAACTGACATTGTAACACAAAACGACAATATACAGAGTAACATTCGATTTAGTGGTTTAGTAGTGCAAACATAATCATGGCAGGGATCTGTACCAGGGTAGTGTCCAAAATCCCGATTTCAATAAGGAGATATTTGTAAGAAAAAACAAGGGGAAAAAAAGGAGCGTAGCCTTTTTCATCCCACAACTCTGAGCTACTCTCTTGTTCACATGTGCGAGTGTGGCCATTTAGTAACTGTGACAGAAGAAGAAATATTTCTCTTTCATTTCTACCAATTTCCTGTGTAGTAACCACTACACTGTAACATTGCACCTGAAGTGTTAACACTTGGTTGTTCGAAATCACTTGCTGGTGTTATAAAAGACTTGGCCTTTGTGTTAATCACTTCCTCTTAACATCTTCCTATACTTCCTCTTTAATGCTGTGACACGTCTTCTCTGCTCTCCACAGTTGCACCACTGAGTGTGAACATTACTGTTCAGGTTCTAGCATGAATACAAAAGGTGAGCACTTAGATATATGACATATGAATAGAAAATCAGGTATTATTAAGCAGTTTTAAAATTGGCATAACCAATTCCAGCTGCACAG